TAATAAAAGTTAATCAATAAAAGAAGATTACTTAACAATTAAATCATTTGAATTAAAAGAAGATTTCTGAACTCATTTTATCAGTTTAATAAAATGAACACATTGTTACTTACTTTTATTAAATTAGTCTCTTTCAACTTTATTTATTTTAAACATACAAAAATCTTTAATAATTCTCTCATCTAATTGAAATACGTGAAGAACATGTAATCTATAATTGAAAGTTAATAAACTAACAGAAATGGTAACAATATACAGAAAAAATATAATTAAATATATTATTATAATAAAACACAATGAGAATTTTATCTTGCGAAATTAATAAAGTACCAGTTAAAACTATATTAGATATGTCAGAAATAGCAAATATATAATGAGTTATAACAAAGTATGAGATAGATTAAGTGAATATGATATAAATTATATTGTTAATAATATTAAAACATCAGAAGCATGATTACAGTTTGCAAAATATTATCTATCAAAGTATATATACAAGCGTATATTAAAACTAGGATATAAAATAGATAATAGAAATTACTGAGAAAATTTTGTATTTTGTATTAAAAATAATTTGATCAGTCATAAACAAATAGGTAATAACTCTAAATATAAGAATTTTAAAGTTCAATTAATATTATATAAAAAAGATCATACATCATTAATTATTCAGAAAACATATCATTTATGAAAAAACAAATTAATTCAACTAAAATAATCTAACATGCAGTAATTAAATAGCTTTATAGACCTGGTAAATCATTTATAAAGCAAGCCAAAGATCAATATTATCAAAATGCGAATAAGCTCTATCATTAGATAGAACAGATTTAGTTTCTATATCAATAATTATATAAAAGAGAATGGTGTGAATATTTTATTTATTAAAATGAATTTAAAAATGCAGAATTAAATAAATTGTTATAATAAAATATTATAATAATAACTTTATCCTGTGAAATCAGGTTCTTGAATAACTCTACAAGTCATAAAGCACCAATTACAGCTATATTAGATTCTGATGCTAATTGCAATGTTATAGATGCAAATATAGCAAAAATAGTAGGCTTGAAAATTGATAATACCTCCAATATAGAAATATATAGTCTCTTTAGTGAGTTTAATATATTGGGAATAATTCGTACAATGAAAATTTTAGTCCTGTCTCAAGATCAGAAATGAAAACAAGTAGAAGTTAGTAATATTTTCATTATCAATAAATTTGAACTTAAATTTATATTGATATTAGGTTAGTTATAGTTCCAGAAAAATACAATAAAGCTGAATTTTCTGAATAAAACTCTTATATTATTCGATGGAACTAGTTGCGAGATTAAGTGTAATTAAGAAAATATATAGTATATATATCTAAAATTAATTATCTGAACATTAGTTATTTTTTTCTATTGAAGATATATAATAATAATACATTACTTGAGAATAGTACAACTGAATATATTTGCTTTACCAAAATTACTAGAACAAATCTTATATTTTTAGAAATTGATTGATCTTTCTATCCCACTTTATTTGTAACCACCTTTGATATCACTGTAATACTCTTATTTTATGATGTTGTAGGTTGAAAGATATCTTGAGCTTTTACTCAACAATTGATAAACTTTAAAAAAGTTATATGTGAAAAGATAAAGCTAATCTATTGCATCAAAATAGTATATCTCAGATTGGAGGGTTTAAAAATCTCAGATGCATTGATTAGTATAATTCTACATTCCTTTTTAGATATACACACTCTTATTCTTGATTGAAATATTAGTTTCACTAATATACTAATTATAGAAATTGTGAGATTTTCTCTGAAATGAGTCTTAATTCATGTATATGTCTCACTAATCAATGTATTACTAAAATTGCTCACTCATGCCCAATACTTAGATATATTGAGCTTGAAAATTATTCGATTAGTAATAAAGTTGTTGAGAAAATAGCCCACAACTGTACTAATTTGAAATATCTCAGTTTGGGAGAATGTAAAGAGATTAGCAAAGAAGTAATGAAAAAATTCAATTCAAAAATTAAAATCGAATCTTCTGATTATTCAGATGAAAAGTCCAATTCTGATCTATCTCTACACATTCCAATCTTTACCAATGGATGAAATGGAATAGCTTTAATCATGTTCTTTAGAGACTACTCTTTGAATCATACATCAAATGAAACAGATTTTATTTCTGCAATTATTAATTATCTCAGAGAGAATTCTCCAACACAGATTATAAATAATTACATTTATTAGTGAAGAATAAATAATTATTTATCAAGTTATTTTTTCAGTTATAATATACATCAATAAATAATGTTTAACATGACCTTTATAGAAACACTCATAGAAGGAAAAATTCCAGTTAAAGTGTTAATAGATACCTTATCAAAGTTTAATACTATTAGCAAGAGCTTGTTCAATAGGCTTGGAACAGATCATGAAATAAGACCAACTTGTAATTTGGTTAAAAACCTCTATGAAGATGCAATAGGTGTTTGGCAAAAATACAACAATAAATCATACTAAAATCATGTGACACATTACACACCTCCCGTAATGAAGATCGGCAACACTTCGCTTTAGTCTCCCCCCTTTTTGTTATAGAAGGATACAAGAAATATTATATAGTTTATTTCAAAAAACGAACGCGTTGCACTTTTTTTTTTTATTTTATTATTCATTTTCTACATTGCATAATCAATCTCTTTATCTATAATATCAAATCAAAACTCTAATCTAGATATCTTTAACACTTGCGTACTGTATTTTCAGAACGAAGTATTGACCCGTTGATTTCTTCTAATAATTCGTCCTGCTTAATTAATTCATCCTATGGAAACATTACCATCATATGACGATTTTGTGCAAATAAATTATGATCATAAAGAAACTGGATAAAACTTACATGGAATATAGACATCATTCTGAATGACGACGGTGGCAAGTTCACATGACAGGAAGCGTCCATCGGGGAGGATATTTAATGAATATAGTGTTAATCGAGAATCTGAAAAATGGGAACAGGTTATCATACATTGCAGCGGTTAACAAAACTAATAAAACATAGGTCTACTTACTAATTGATAGTGTACTGAACACCTTTATCCTTGTGGCAAGGTTGATATCACAATCAAGGTGTTCCCGCAATATTGCAATTAGATTTAGGATATCTGTTCGGAATGTTTTCTTTGAATCACCTAGAACGTGTTTATTGGGTGCATTATCGGGAGGACCGGCAACTTCTAAATGCCAAACGTCAAGCCCATCGGAGAGCCTTGTCGCCTTTGCATCCACTAGAACAATGCCAGAATTTGATTCCGACTTCATCAGTTTTGCCGGACGGGAATGAGACTCAATCCAATCAATATCCAAGGTTAGAAACGTTCTTTCATAAAATTTTAATAGTGCTGATACTTGGTAAACTATATGCTTTCGCTCGCCCATTTTTCTATCCAAAGTGGGACCAACATCTACAAGATTGTAGCTAAAGGAAAAGCAATTGTTAACAGTTTCTTTGATGGACAAATAGATATTAATGTCTACTTACAAGTCGGTGAGAACTTTTTCACAATATAGGCGGAAACCTTCATCCATATCATTATAATTCTTATTTCTAACTGCATTCTTAAACTTTTCATCAGATTCCTTGAGAGTCGTATTTATATACTCTTCTAACGCAGAATTCCACACAACGGGACTTCTATCACGCATAGAGGACAATTCTTTGGTGAGTTCTATGCCAATTTTTGTTTCCAATTCTTTGGCTGTTAACGCAAATGCACATATAACGGAATTTTTTTCAGTGTAACTGTTATATAGAAGACCAAAATAATGTTAGAATAATTTCTGTTTTCCAGGCAACACAACAAGCAGAAACTTACTCCCAAAGTTCTTCCTTCTCTATTGGACGTTTGTTTGGTGTATTTAATAAATGTGCTAATTCTCGAGGAGTTTGTGGTGGGGTTTTAGGTGGTAAAGTATCTGTAGCGTCTGAAAGTTGTAAAGCGTCTGAAGATAGCAAAGCATCCAAGGGTTGTAATCGTGCTTGAATGATCTCTGTTTTCGAGTTAAGTAATAGCGTATTCTGAAAGGTGATAATGAAACATAAACATCCATTCGACACGTGCACATAACTGCAAATCAAGTATCAACCTACCTCGACTGTGTTGTTGAGAACGGCTGAGTGTCTTTGATATTTGGTAGCATCGAAATATTTTCGGCATTCTTGGACAATCGTAATTCCTGCACGAGACTGTGATGATTGAGTTTTATTTCTATGTTATTATTAAACAAAAACTAACTGCCTACCTTTAACCACTCTAAGTAATTATGGCAGAATGATTTTATCGGATTGGGCGTGGCTGTGAGCTGGTTTCTAAATAGTGTGACCGCCTGTTCGAAGCTAATCTCGGAATCAACAGCGTATTCAATGAAATTTTGAAGGCATCATGATGATGCTTTCTCGATTGTGAAATAAACGTGAAGGCTTCGTGTATTCGGACTGGCCCGAAATTTGAAATACGTGGTTGAAAGAAGACGAGGTTCACGTACTGCAATGCAGTTTTTTTCATGGACCGTTTTAGGCATAGTGAGTCAATTTACTCTAACAGAAAAAATCGCGATAAGTCGCGTCGATCACGTGGTCAATTGATGTACTTAATTAAATCCCTATTTGCGTTACTGAAAATTTTTTTGGCCATGTCTTTCGGCGTCGAAGTGGAAGTTAAAGACAAGACTTTACCCACACGTCCATGCCGGTCATCAGACGGTGGACGATGCTGGAAGTGCGAAGGGGGAACTATCATCCTGTCATCAGACGGTGACTCCCACAACGCAATCCTGTCTGCTGGTCTAACCATCAGGTGATCAGCAAACAGAAGTGCAAGCAGGAAGATCTCACTTTGCCATCAGGCGGTGAACTTTCTACTTGTAAAGGTAGGCCACCAAATCCCGTGCGGTCATCAGACGACGAGTTGGTGGAGACTGGTGATGGCTGATTTCATCTAACCTGGCCAGAACCGGCTTAACTTTGCTGTATTTTTTTTCTTATGTAAAATAAAATCATAACTTTATTAATATCTGTAAAATTATTTTTACGTTAAATTACAATGTAAAAGGCCGGCCTGTAAATTATTCGTGGAGTAGCAGACGTTTAAAGGGAGGAAGCATCTCGAGCCCTAACCCATAAAATGAGAGTTCCTTTCCCTACTCCGTATTACTAAGTAAGTTATTATCATTATTTTCATCACTATCATCTAAAATTATATTACTACTACCGCTAATAACAACGGAATTATCTTTTTTCCGATTTTCTTTTTCGATCCAAGCCTCGATTTTGTTTGACGAAGTTTTTAATGGAGTTTTCTGATGGCGGTAAAAACTATCTTCGGGATATTCTGATTTGTGGCTTCTTGCAGATTCTTGTCCTTTAATTACCGAAGCTAGTACGTTAGTGCTAAAACACATTAATATAACCACGTTGTTATAGCGAATCAATAATTAAAATACCTTGAGACCGAATCTCGCTTTCCCATTCCGTTTCAGTTCGCATTCTATTAATTTCATTGTTAAGCACCAAAATTGCTTTTTTACAGATGATCACTCGGGATTTGAGGCGACATTATATTTTTGCGTAGATATATGAATGTTACAACGAGAATTATATATATTATTACGTTTCCGGGGATAATTGTTGGAGTATCTCCATATTCAAGATACCCCGATTAAATAAATCATTACAGTGGTGAAAATAACAAGCAAAAAAATGTCGCATGTTGTAGTAAATAAATTGATTGTTCGGTTAATTATTTGATTGCTATATCGCGTGACGATAATTGTTTTGATGTTTTGTTAAGCATGAACCTGCGAATTTAACCCTAGACAACGCACGTTTTTATATCGGTAGCTTGTAAAGGAGCTGGCACGGCCAATATATCTTAATTTCACAAAACAAAGATGAATTAGCTTAGTTTCTTGCGCATGCCCTTTCTTAACACGAATTATATCTGGTTTATTCTATGTGACCATGGTATTGGTTCTTTAGATTTCGTTCCAAGTAACTAACTCGTCGCTTCATTATGAATTCGCACGCAAAACAACATTCGTGTTGGGGGAATGCTTCAATAGATGAATTAGCTATATTACACAACCCGTATTAAATGAATTAAGGGTCGGGATGTAGCTCGCCCATTAGTTGTTTTTTTTGTATGCGGAAGATGATCAATATACTGGTAATGGAACACGATTGACATTTCCGGATCTGCGTTAACGCACGGTTAATAAAAATATTCAATAAATTACAAAGCACCCATGATCATCCTCGTACTAACGAATTCTCCGCCTTTTCTCTGTCATATTTAACTTTCCCCACTGCTCCGCTTCTTTTAGAAGCCAAACGATTCGACCCAATATTCTACCTGTCTCCTTTTCCAAACCCTCCGACTCCTCGGTCCAATCCAAAACGGTTGGCGTTTCCGAATGCACGCTGATTTTTGGTTTATCGCCATCCATAATAAACTCGACAAAGTACCATGCTCGGCCATCGGTAACGATTCCGTATGACTTATCGGCAAAATCACTCTCGATTTCATCATGCTTACGTTTCCGGTTGGTTTCAAGAGACGAATGCAGTTCTGTAAAATTATCAAAATTAGTAACATATATACAGTATATCTGAATGCAAAAATTACGATTTTATTCTACCTGGGCCATGCCTTGGTCAAATCTTCTTTTTTACTTCCACAACACCGATTATTACTCCAAGGAGTTTCAAGCAGAAATCGAGCGGACCTCGGCCATATTTTCCTTCAACATATAGTTGCGGATATAACTTTACTAACCCATCGAAAAGCGAAGTAGCTGTTACAAGAAACAGGGAGACGTAGTGGCTTCTGTTTCACCGTGAATCGCTTTATAACGAAGCCTCAAATCTTTGCAAAGATGAGACATCAAATCCTTGGCTTTTTCCGAATCGAGTTTGTCGATACCGCAATCGAAAGTGGGAAACTCATCAATACCCGGTGCGAGACCAAGAAGTTCACATACTTTTCCGAGTTTCCAATCCGAGAATGGTTTTTGCACAATATCGATTTGTATTTTGAGGGAGAAGAATGCCTGCAAGATTTAAGATATTGCCTAAATGTGGTATCATCTTCCAAACCTAACTCTTCGCAGTTTTTTTCGTCGGTTCTACCAAAACGTAACGTTAAATCCTCAGGCTTCGTATCTTGCGGAAATGGAAGGACTTTGAGGATTGCTAGCTTCATAGTATCCAATGTTACTGAACCTATATCGGCCGGTCAGGAGAAAGTCATGCGTTGTTTCTCATACGAAGCTTTAATCGTGAACACTCTGTGGTTGTTCTCGAGCGATGCTAACCGGTCCAAAAGTTCCTGCTCACGGCTCGAACTGGCGATTTGCACCGGTGGCTCGACTATGACATGAATACATTCTTCGGCTGGCGTTGCAGGA